CCGCCATATCAATACCGTGACCACAACCTCCTTTGGATTCGGAAAGGTGCAGCTCGTCGCCCCAACGTGCAGGAAAGGGAGGCCGTCATGTGCATCCCGGTTGGTTATACAAGACCTTGTCTCCCGAAAGCCGACCAGACGGGCACCAAATGGGAGGACACTCGGTTGAGCTTGATCGGGAACTCCTGGCATGTAGGAGTCATTGCTTGGCTGCTGGAACAAGTGTTGGGGCCTTTGGGCTTTTGTCGGCGACAGTCTTTGCAGCAGATAGTTGACTCTCTGACCCCAGAGGGCAGCGTGACGTTGCAGGGGATGCTCTTGAGACCCCCATTGGTGTCGAACAAGTGCCTGGTGGCAACCTTGGAAAAACCGTTGCTCTTGAAGTTGTTGGGGTTGGTTTCCATGAAAGGGGAAGACTTGATCGTGACAGCGGCTAGTGAGCCACAGGTCAAGTTCCATCGGCTCCGCTCCAGCGTGCCCGCAAAGCCATTGGAAAGAAGTCACTGGTTGGCAGTGGCGCCATGCCGGGGAACACATCAACATCTTGGAGCTCCGTGCCATCCTCACCACGTTGCGTTGGTTGGTAGTGCGTCGAGGGGGGCATCGTCAACGGTTTTTGCATTTGACGGATAGCCTGGTTTGCTTACATTGCTTGTCGAGGGGTCGAACCTCGTCCCGAAAGTTGAGACATGTGTTGAAGCGTGTCAACTCTCTCATCCTTGCTGCGGACCTACACCCAGTGTGGGGGTATATCCACACTTCTCGGAACCCAGCAGGCCGCCCTAGTCGGCGGCCCCTCCAGAGGAAATGGGGAAAGTGAAACAACACTTAGAAGGTCACAGCAAGGAATCGAGAGCAAAAAATCGACAAGCTTTAGGGACACTACGTGAACTCACAGTGCAACCGCAAACCAGGAAACGATACAGGCTGGCAAAGACCAAGTTCTACGACTACGCAAGTACAAATGGGTTGAGCATACCGTCCAATTTCACTGCCTTTGACGACATGTTGGCTGACTATGTAGAATGCTTGTGGAGTGTGGGAGAGGGGAGAGCGCTAGCAAGTGATACAGTCGCTTTTCAGGACACGGAGCCATGGTTGAAGGGAAAATTGCAGGTGATTTGGAGGTTGTTGAAGACTTGGCACGTCAACGAGGTGCCAAGTCGCGCTCCACCTCTCCCGGAGGAGTGTCTTTTTGCTATGTTGGGATGGTGTCTTTTCCATCAGCAGTGCGCATTTGGACTGAGCCTCTTGCCAGGGTTCTATGGATTACTGCGTGCAGGGGAGATTCTCGGGTTGTGGAACCACCATATCCTGATGACTTCTCCCGACAAACCAGCAGTGATTTCATTAGGATTGACCAAGTCTGGCAAACGTGCCGGAGCGTCCGAAAGTGTCACCATTTCTGTCACGTGTGCTCTCCAATGGTTGTGGGCATGGAAGCACACCTCTCCTGCACACTGCCCGTTAACCCCCAAGCCTCATCAATGGAGGCGGACTTTCAGTGATTGCATCAAGGCTTTGAACCTTGAGGAATTCGAGTTCCGTCTTTACAGCTTGCGTAGGGGAGGCGCCACGTGTTGGTTCGGGCGCCACGGATCCCTCGATCGGATCATAGTCCTTGGCAGGTGGGCGGCGGTGCGCACCGCCCGCCTGTACATCAATGAGGGTCTTGCCCTTTTGGCCACTTTAAAGATCCCAAGGAAGTGCATCCTTCCCTTTTTAAGAACGTTTCACCAGCAGGACAATGCAAACCTAGCTCGGACGCTTGAGCGTGCTAAAGCAGGTAAGGGGGACGTGGAGTATGGTACGGGCAAATGTGTGTGAGGAGGGAGTTCGCTTTTTCGGTGTCATAGAGAAAGACCACAAAACTACCTGGGCC